AATGTTTTAAAGTCTAACCTGTTATTGTTTGAAGCCAGCATTACAGTTCAAATATTAACTCAAGTATAACTGAGCTTTTTTCCCATTTAAGAGAAAGGAAGCATTAACTAAGGATGAACAATATTTAAAGTTGTTATTATTCTGACAGGGTTGTAGGTTTATTGGAAAACGGGTCCAAATGAATTGCATGCAGGCTCCAGAACAGCTGAACAGTTTGGCGTTTCAGTGCACGCTGCAAAGAGAAGCATATTGTCAATAATAATGTCCATTAAAAACTGTTTTTGGAATGACCTGCAACAAAGAAAAAAGAAAATGTTTTTTTTTTTTATTTTTTTTTTTTTTAATGAATTGGTACTCACCCCAAACACATTGAAAGTGTAACAACTGAGAAATAAAAGCAAAAAGTAGCCTAAGAGGATAGTATTGTAAGAAATATTGATATAAAATATATGGTTATGGAAACACACAATAATATTTTCCTGGATTTTTAACTATCTTTTAAAATAAATACTCTAAAACTAAACATCACATGTCAATTTGCTTGGTGAGAAAACCAAAGTAAGCAAATTTAGGTGAAATGTTGCTTTTTTTTTTGTATTTGATTCCACTTTAAACTGGGGCACATGCACAATTATAGCCCAGCCTTAAGGTTGTTGTAATCGGGCACTCTGGATTTGGGCGAGAGTAAGGTTTCCGAATCCAGGGAGGGCTTTAGGGCAGGTGCGCTGATTTACACCTGTTTTATTATTTTATGTAAACCAAGTCAAGTTAACAATAGCAGTTAAATAAAACATGTATTTTAGGACATAAATGGACGTTACAGTGGTTGTAGAAAATAATAAGTCTCAAAATTGCACTACCTTTGACAAAAACACACCCAAGAGTTTTGCGTACATGCAAACACTGCTTGACGGGAATTTTTTTGTGAGCACCATGAATTATTATTATTATTATTAGTAGTAGTAGTATTTTATATCTGTGGGTTTAAATTTGTTGAATCGAAAATCAAGGTCATGTTCAAAGTGTCTTTATTGTCATTCACATCACATGTGGTACAGGTGGAACAAAACTATTTACACAGGGTCCCAGTTACATCCAACAAAATATAAATTGTAAAGAAAAACAGTAAAAAGATCTAAGATATGAACTAAGAAATACGCTAAACTAAGAATATACTAAGCGCAAATAGTACAAAATAATGCGCCAAACAACAGCAGCACTAATGGATATATTTGAGCATGCATCAGAACAATAATGCATATCATTGTATTTCCTGTCATTCGTTTTGCTAAGGGAATATGTGCTATATAAATAAATCTGACTTGACTTATTGAGTTACATTGCCTGCAGACATTTAACTGACTAGGTCCTACTTTTGTACTTTCAGTACATGTGGCTGTATAGGAGATACTGCAATGACAGTGGAATGCCATTCCAACTGTATAAATGCAGGCTCATGGTATCCAAGAGAGTCAAAGTGATCACAACTGAGGGGGGTTGAAATACCTTTCACATGTTCAAGACGGTTACAAATATCCTGAAATCACACAGGCAAATGGCAGCCATGATGAGGCCACAAGGAAGTCCGCTACATCTAAAGTCCTACAGAGGGTAAGACAGGTTCTCAAGAGCCAGGTGAATGGAAGGAACTAAGTCCAAGCCATCAACACAAATGCTGTGCCAGTCATCAGATACGCAACTGGTATAACAGCCTTGTAAACCCAAGAGTTTTGCGTACATGCAAACACTGCTAGTGCATTCCTATGGAAGCCGAGAAAATAATCCCTTGCATGGCACAAGGGCGGCTGTGGCTGAGTGGTTAGAGCAGTCGTCCTCCAATGCGAGAGTTGGGGGTTTGATTCCACCAGCAGTCACATGCCGAAGTGTTCCTGGGTAAAACATTGACTGAACCCCTCATAGCCTCTGATGTGTGTCCCATCGGTGTGTGAATGTGATCAAGCACTGATTAATCTTTGTACAGTTCTAGTAGAGTGCTGTATGACTGCTGTTTGAGTATCTTGATAAGATAGAAAGGCGCTACAGTCCATTTGTAAAGACAAAGATAGAAGACATCAAGACTCAATAGCTCCTCACAATGCATGGGAGGTTTCACCCCAAGTCCAGTACCCTGAGACTTTAGAGAAAGGAGGGAGGCAGAGGAGTAGAGATCGTTCTCGCCACTGTACAGGATGAAACAACTAAGATCCTAGTACATCAGGAGGAAAGCCCTTGATGATGAACTGATGAGTGAATGTTTCAGGCAGCAGCAGAAACTTAAATGTGGAAGAAGAGGAACAAAAAGAGCCATCATGGAAAGATAAGCCCCGCACATGGCATGTACCAGCGCAAATTGAGGAAGTGGCTGATAACAAATCCAACCAGTGGCTATAGAGGTCTGCAGGACAGCACAGAGGCACTAATGGCAGCACATGAACAAGCCCTCAGCACAAGAGCAGCAGAGGTCGGGGTCTACCATACCAGACAAGACCCAAGATTCAGGGTGTGCAAAGATGCCTCTGAGATAGTCCAACACATCATAGCAAGGTGTAAGATCCAGGCAGGCAAAGCAGGTATGGAACGCCGTTATCAAGTGGCTGGAATAATATACAGGAACATCTGTGCAGAGTATGGACTGGAGGTCCTACAGTCAAAGTGAGAGACACCATCAAAGTTGCTGGAGAGTGAAACTGCTAAGATACTCTAGGACTTCCAGATCCAGACCAACAAACAGGTTATGGCTAACCAACCGGACATTGTGGTGGTCAGCAAGTGAGAGAAGAAGGCAGTGGTGATAGATGTAGCAATCCCAAGTGACTAACATCAGGAAGAAGGAGCAGCTGGAAAAATACCAAGGGCTGGAAGAGGAAAGTTTTGGAGAGTCGAGGCCTCAGTGGTACCAGTGGCATAAAGCACCTTGTACTGTGACCCCCAAACTGGAAGAGTAGCTCCAACAGATCACTGGAAAAACCTCAGAGATCTCTGTCCAGAAGAGTGTAGTCAAGGAACACCTGAGATAGAGAACAGATCCCTCAAACTCCCAGGGCTCTGGTAGAGGACCTGAATCTAAAGGGAAATAGAATCGCTAATGTAGAAAAAATAAAGCAAGTTGGGTGCTGTTTTTCACATACATACAAAAAACTAGAGGTTCAGGAGAGTTGGCCTACTGTAGGCAGGTTTGCTCTTCCAAAATAAAGTTGCAAGATTGGGTTCGGTCTGTTTTCAGTCGGGACTTTCTCAGTGCTGATGTTGTCATGTTATTTCAGATGACTGTGGAAGTGGAAAGAAAGTTTGTGTTCAGTGCTGAGACCCTGGAGACACTGGAGAGCATTGGAGGTAAGCGGTTGGTTCATATTGCACATACTGGACCGCCCATGAATATTTCCACTAATTGCTGCGCTACTTCCAGGATAATTTACATCAAGCTTACCGATCTGTCGCAGCATTGTTAGCAACTGACAGGTTTGCTTTTATGTTGATTCTTTCTGCAGTTTGTGTTGATCAACGCCAGTTTCACGACCAGTACTTTGACACTCCAGAGTTTAATCTGACTTTGAGAGACATGTGGCTACGCAAGCGAAAGGGATGCTGGGAGCTCAAGTGCCCAATGGCCAACAGCGCAGAAGAGCCAAGCGAGGAGCGGCCTGCGGACGCAGCGCTGTGTACTCATTACAAGGAAATAAGCAGTCTGTCTGAAATCTACCAGAGAGTGAAGGAGGTCATAAAAGTTGACTGTGAGGACAGAGAGGCGGAGACGACCCCCTCACAGGAAGACTGCTCCTGGCTGAGCAAACTGAACCTGGCATGCTTTGCTGAGTTTACAACAACTCGACGGTCCTTCACGTTGGGGGAGGAGGGGGTGAAGATAGATCTGGACCAAGCTGACTTTGGCCATCACGTGGGGGAGATAGAGGTCCTCATACCAGAGGGAGGAGATGTGCAGTTGGCACAAGAGAAGATCAGAAATGCAGCTAAAAAACTTGGCAAGTTTTAAAAGCTAATAAATCCCAATTAGAGAGTGAATGGTGAGAGCTAAAAGACTATGACTGAAAAATTCAAGTCAAACCAAGCAGAACAGGCTAAAATAAGCTAAACAGTAGCTAAAAGTAGCAAAATGGTTGCTAATATTAGTAAAACTATCTCAGAAAAGTAAAATAGATGGTAAAGCTAAAATCAGCCAAACTGTAGCCAAAATACCTAAACGGTAGCTAAAGCCAGGAACAGCAGTTTGGTAGCTAAAATTTAAAAGCAGCAGAACGGAAGCGAAAATAATAGTGGCAAAACTGTAGCTAAATGTTACAGAACAGTAGAAAAAAGCTACAAAGCAACTAGATAGGAGCTGAAGCTAGCAAAGCTGTAGCTAAAACTTTGCAAATTATGCTAATAGTAGCTAAAAAAAATTCAAACACTAAAATCACCAAAATAGTGGCTAAAATTATAAAAGCTATATCCAAAAAAGTGAAATGGTAGCTACAGCTATAAGCAGAAAAACAAGAGCTAAAATTGAAAGCAGCCGAAAGTTAGCTAAAATCAGCAAGCACAAGCTAAACTTATTAATACAAACCTGTAGCTAAATGCTGCAATACAGTTGGAAAAAAAGGTAAAAGCATGACGGGAGCTAAATTTTGCAAAATAGATGATAAAATGTATCAAACTGAAGCTAAAAGAGGTAAAACAGCTGATTAAGCTAAAATCAGCAAAAATGTAGCTAAAATAAGAAAAACTTACTCAAAAAGCAGAACAGTAGCTACTTCCAAAAGTAGCTAAATGATAGCTAAAAGCAGCAGAACACAGGCTAAAAACTAATAGCTGCAGAACTGTAGTTAAATAAGAATTTATTATTAGAAAGTAGAAACTAGAAATAAGCTAAAGAGTAGCATGGCAGGAGCTAAACTTAGCGAAACTGTAGCTAAAACTAGCAATACTAATACTAATATTATTAAAACTAGCTAAAAGATGTAATACAAAGGATAAACCAAAAACCAGCATAACAGTAACTAAACCTTAGGAGCACATAATAGAAGCAGAATGGTAGCTTAAGTCAAAAGTAGCAGAATGGTAGCTAAAAGCAGGAGAACACAGGCAAAAAACTAAAATAGCCAAAACTGCAGCTAAATGCAGAAAAACAGTAGAAAAACACAAAAGAGCAGCATGACAGGAGCTACATTTAGCAAAACTAGCTGAAACTAGCAAAAGAAGGAATAAAGTTTTGTTTTTTCCCCACATTACAGCTGCAGGAGAAACTAAAATCTAAAAGAAACAGAATGGTAGCTTAAGTCAACATTAGCCGAATGGTAGCTAATCGCTAAAGGTAGCGTAAGAAGACCAAAACAGAGTCAGCTGACTGGAGCTGATTTCAAAGAGAAGATTTTGAAGGAATTGACAAGATCTCGATGTGTTTCTGTGGATAAAGATTTTGAAAAAAGCTAAAAGTTATAAAACCCAAAAATCACAGCACCCACCTCTGGAATGAGCCGAAAGCTCTGACATACGAACGGCTAAAATAGGACCACGTATGCTGAAGTGTTTAGACTTAAAATAAAAAACACACAGAAGAAACTATTAACAGTAAAAGAGTAAATGCTGACTCATCATTCTCACAAGGATTTCACCGATGTGGTTTTTAAATAATTTCCATCAGGGATGAAAAAAGTGTTCATCCATTCATCCTGTACCTTTTTTTTCCTCCTCAGGTGTTTCTGGAGACGAGCGAGTCGATGGGAAAATGACAACGTACCTTAAAAGGTATCGCCCGGAGCACTACGCGGCGCTGCTCCGTGCTCGTGTTTTATAGGCAGGAGGTGAGTCTGATCAAATGCACAGGATCACTTCTGCCAAACTAAGAGCTAAATCAAGTTTAGATTTAATTTTAAAGGTTCAAACGTGAAAACGGCAACAAACCTTTATTCATTTGAAGCTGTACCTCAGGTGAGATTATTGTTGTTTTGGTGCTGGAGCCCGTTTCATAAAGTGAACCGACCGGGAAGATTCTCCAAAACACTCCTGAACGTTCTGTAGCAATAGAACCGCTCCAAAATAATTGATCAATTATTAATTAATTAATTAATTAATAATTGATACATGTGTTTACACAACATTATTTAAAATGCAAGTTAATTTGTGGTGACATGTTCGGAAAGCAAAAAAATGACTTGAATTATTTACTGCAGCTCAACATGAGTTTATTTTCTCGTTAAATGAAAATCTTTACGCAATAAATAAATAATAAAACAAACTATAGTGGTACCGTTTAGAACAAAATTTACAGATTGTTACAAGGATAAAATCTGTTTTATTTGGTTGTTTAAAGTCATTTGATGCACGTTAGAACAAACTTTTTTTTTTATTCATCTAATGGATTCTGATCAAAAAGGGAAATGTGTTTTTATGTATTATGTTTAAATATGTTGTGGGAAAAATGGTTTTACAGTAGTTGTTTTAAATTAATGACTTATAACGTGGACTGTTTTAACAAACTGGTGTTTACGTGTAACTTTGGATCGACTTGTCAGATCTTCAGCTGTTTTATGAGTACGGGTGTCAACCAGTGAGCAGTTCTTTAACTTCTGATTTATTTTAAAATAAAATATTTATAATCTGTATGTTTGACTGACTGACTTTATTTAATTAACTGCTTTTATTTCTTCTCGCAGGGATTGTTCATTGCTGAGCTGTAGTAGATTTTTATATAATTGTATGCACATTTATTTTACAAATGCATTGACTATTTTAGTATTTTTTGTTTATTTAAACACATATAATTCACAAAGCACCACACAAAAACACCTCAAGACATTTAGAGGCAAACGCTTCTTTAAAATGTATGTATTTTAAGATTTTAATCGCTTAAACATTTTTATGAATTTGTTTAACTTGCAGTGCTCATATAAAAAGTTGTTTACATGCTTTCAAGTTGCATTCTTTTCCTTTTCGAGTTTAATTTCTAACAGTCACAAAACAAAGAATTACAGAAAATTAATTAGCACTTATAAACCACAGAAGAGCAGAAAATAATTAAATAAAGACACAGGAAAGGAAATATAAGTTAACTTTATTAGAGAATAATTAAAAAAAACAGAAAATCAGTGTTGCGTCTTTTAAAACAAGAATAATAGGCATTATATTTTGAGAATTTGAACATGTAGATTAAATATTTGCCCATAAATTTTGTAAAACTAAGAAGTCAGAATGCTTTAAGCAAAAATATTTTCAAAATAAATGCCTGGCACAAAACTACATTGTACACAATATTAAAGTAACATTCTGTGCAAAACATAAAATCAAACAATGGAGGCACAAATTTTAGTTAAATAGCTTCAGACTGTGTGAACGTTAAAGGTAACCAAGTTAACGACAAAATAAAATCCTGGACAAAATATTCAGCATAAATTAAAAACAAATCATTTTATGGTCCGTTTTCTTCACAAGTTTATTTTTCAATTTTTTTTAACATTTTGCTTATTGAAAGAAATATTCTGATGAGTCCAATCCCAGAAAAGACTCAGTGTGCTCGTGTGTATCAGCTGGTATTTTATCTGTCATTTCCAGTTGATATTTGGTAAAGAAACCAAATAATTTCTGTTAAAATAATGTTATTATCGTTGGACGCTTTGATGTCAACGAGGGGACAGTCATCGTCAACATGGGTGGTTCTCAAAGCCGGTGATTTATTGGTTTCTTGAACTTTTGGTGCAAATTATTGAAATCAACACATTGGAAATGGCATAAAATAATAAGTTTTGGCAGCAAAAGAAGCAAATAAACTGACATTAAAAAAGTTCATTTGAGTTTAGAAAATGGTAAGCAATTTATATTCCTTCATAAAGTCAGGTATTTGTATAAAAATGCCTCATTTACGTTTAGTCATATAATCCAAGATATGTTCTTTATGAGGTGAGAAATTTGGGTTGACCTGTTTATCAAGTGATACTTTGCTTGCCACCTCTTAGCCAATCAGGACAGCAGTCTACATCACGTGACGGTAAAACGTCAGGAGTTGGGGCGGGGCATGCGCAGACTTGTTTTTCTTCTTTCTTTTTTTTTTAGGTGCACTTTTGTAAACAACATGGCGATTCACGGACAGCTCCGGTTAGCTAACTGACCCAACGACCGTGCTGTCATACCTTCGGGTTACGGCGAGACACTGCGGTCTGGTTCCGGACCCAACTGTGTGTAAAGCCCGCGGCAGAACGACCGGAACCGCCGGTACCGACGAGCTGTCAGGAGGACAGTCAAACGGTAGCTCTACCGTTAGCAATTTTAGCTAACTCTTCAATATGAACCTTTACCTTTATGGGTGGAAACACTGTAAGAATGTGGATTTTTATTTTTTTAAACACAAAGTTTGCGTGTTAATAAAATTAAATACCTAAATAATAAACTTGAGCTTATTTTTTTTATTTTTTTTTTCAAACGTTTGTTTGTTTTGTCCCCCCTCAGTCTGTCACTGACTCCCTCAGGTAAATCCTTACCTGTAGTAACTCTCCTAACTCTCTCCGCCAGGCCTTCTCAGTCTATGGGCTCTCAGTCCAGTTCTGGGATGTCTTGTGGAAGGGGTTCTTCCAGTGACAACCCAGCAGATCGGTCTGACGGATCAGAACCGAACCAGAGCAGCAGCAGCAGTCGAGGCCGCAGGTCGGCAGACAGACAGCAGGGAGACCGACAGTCGGCTTCAGAGGAGGACGTGGACCTAGCTGAAGTTCTGGCTTACCTACTGAGGAGGTGATCTCTGCTGGATTTTATATTCCTGATGCTACATGAGATATTCTGCAGAAAAGATGCAGAAGCTGAGGTTAAATAGTCCTGCAGCGTTCTCAGTTATTTAACAAAAAGATCATTTTGTATTTCCTGTTCTAAGATGTGACAGTGCAGTAAATGCACACATACCTGTAGTTTCAGTTCACTCTTATCCAACCACTGAAACAAGTCAAAGATATTTGCAAAGGAAAAGTTCACATTTATAGTCGAACAGTATAAATGAGACAAATCATTTGAACTTCACATTATACACCAGCTCTGTCAAATTTAAGCCAAAAATACAGAATTGTTTTTAAAAATTGAGTTTAAAGAGATATTTTGTGTTCTGTAGAGTGATTTTGTCTTTGAACAGCCTGCGTTTGGGCAAATGTTTGAGAAATCCACTGGAACACCTTGACGATGTCGGAGCATTGACTCAGAAAGTCCTGGATTATTAACCTCAAACTCCAACATTGCTGACTCGTGCATTAATAAAGGTTTTATTTTCACGTCGTATCGCAGTAATCCGATCACACACCCAGCACCGTTTAACCTCTGTTGGTGAACATGTTGAGACAGCGTTTGAAGGAGAACTCCGTCGTCGTCTCACGGATGGTAGTTTGTCTGATCTCAAAGAAAAGTCCTTCTGGTTTTCTGACGTCATTCCGAGTTCAGAGGTAAAAGGAGCGCAGCCGCAGTTCAGGTCTAAGAGTGGAGCTGACGTCTTTAAAGGTGCCGGTTCTCAAATTCAAAGCAGATTTTGTTTTAAAACTACGGAAACCTTTAAAAGTTCATAGCGACTCGTGCTTATTACACCACCCTCAGTTTCACATTTTATGGTTGGTCTATCAGAAACATTATAATATTCCTGCATGAAGTGGCCCAAATCTACGTAAACCACCAGTGTGATTTGAAATTAACATCAATGTAAAGTTTATAAAACATGGTTTGCATGAAATGCTATGAACTTTAGGGGGATTGGAGTTGTTTCAAGAAAACTATTTTCTTCAGCTTTGGCCTCGTGAGCTCCTCATCCTAATATTTTGGAGTTTTTATTGAAAGTTCTCCTTTTCTGCAGTGAAGCCTCCAGTAAGAACCAACAAGTTTATAAATCGTTGAAGTGTTTTATCTGTTTAGCTGCATTTAGATTTATTTTGTGGGTTCAGGGGCCAGGTTCGACTGGTCCACGGCAGTGAAACTACCGGGCTGCAGCTGGTCCAGTCCTACTCCGACTCTGATGAGGACAGCGATGGAGCCTGGGACGGTCGACTGGGCGACCGCTACAACCCGCCAGGTGACCCACTCCTGACTCAGTTGGCTTTGAGTTGAGAAATTAACACAACGGAGTTCTTGTCTTTACTCTTTGTTTTTTTTATCAACACAATAAGATGTGTGACACATTTAAAAGCATTTAGTGCCATTAAATCAACAGTCTGCCTAAGGTTTCACATGGAAACACTCCGTCTTGTTTTTTTTAGTGGACGCTCAGCCCGATACGAACGAAGTGGACTGCAGCGAGATCCGAACACAGATCCTGCTGGCCACCGCCTCGGCTTCCCTGAGAGGCCGCCACAGCTTCACCCACATGCTCACAGAGGTCAGACTGCACAGACGCAAAAAAAAAAAAAAAAAAGCAGATCACGACTGGAATATTGTCAAAGTTCAGAAATTAAAGATAAAACAAAACACATTCTTATTGTTTGAAACTGTTTGTTTGTGTTAAACTAATCTGATTAATACGTTTGTACCATAAACTGCAGCTCCTTGCATTTAGGATGAGTTCAGTGTGGTCATTTAATTTAAACGCTTGTTTCTTGTTGCGTGCAGAGAGAACAAGGCAGATGTAGAGGCTCGAGTTTTTCACATGGAGAGTGCAGCCGTATCCGCACACAGTAAGAACTTTGACTTGTTTTTGTTTCTGGTAAAAATAAGAATGAGAGACCATTTTTGTGCTTTTATTACACACGGCGACACTGACCGGTTGTTGTTGTTTTTTTTGTTTGTTTTTTTCAGTTTTCTGCCAAATTACGTGTCCCACAAAGACACATACCTGCAGAAAGCCTTTTGTGGAGTTTACAGCGAGGACGGCAACATGTTCCTGTCCGCATGTCAAGGTAAATAACGCAACGTCCAACATAAGAAGCCGTGAAACTGACCCTGGAATAATTCATGATGCTAAGCCAACAAAACTGAAGTGTCGTGTGCAAATTAAACTTTTTATTTTGTGTGTTTGCATTATTTTTACTGCACATTTAAACCATATATCCTGAAAATAGTTAAAATTTTAGGTACATGTATCTTTAGAAATGATTAGACTGAAGATTAAACAGTTTACCTGTTTTGATTTCCTCATTTAGTGTTTACTTCTGTTTAAATAAACAAACAAGATGTTTGTTAAAGAGTTATCTGCAGAATTCAGTCACGTACCGACAAAGATTTAAAGCTTTGCCCTGAAAAAGAAATACATCTAGTCTGAAAGGCTCAGTAGGTCAGATGAATATTTAGGTTGTACTTTAACAAAAATCCTGCTTTAAACCGCGTCCGTGATTCTGATGAAACTTTATTTCAGACCAGAACATCCGGCTGTACGACACCTCCTGGGGCCGCTTTCACCTGCGGCAAACAGTGAAGGCCCGCGACGTGGGCTGGAGCGTGCTGGACGTCTGCTTCACCCCCGACGCTCGCCACGTGCTCTACTCCAGCTGGTCCGACTACAGTAAGGCACCTGAGATTCATTAAAGCAAAGCTGAGCCCGTTTGATTAAATAGCTTCACTTGTCTAACGTGTTGTGGACAAAGTATTGATCGTAAGAGTCGCTCATCGAATGAAAGCAAACATCCTTTTTAAACAAAAGGTTCGTAAATGGTTGGAGACGTTAATCAATCCGCTGTTCACTGGTTCTCTCTGTTTGTGTCCTCTCTGCAGTCCATTTGTGCAGCATAGATGGAGACAGTGAAAACCACATCGCCCTGGACCTCAAGTTAGTGTTTCTCTCCCACTTATGACACTACAGAGCAGGTAATCAGTCGATTCCTACCAGCTGGACCTCCTGACCTTTCGCTACCACCGGATGAATGATGCTGTGACCCTAACATCCATCCTCTCGCTCTGTGTATGTGTGTGTTTGTCAAACGTGGAGCTCATCACTCCAGCGTGGCACTCGGTGAAGCGTGCCCTCAAAGCTTTTCTGTGCGAGATGATGCTGTTGGTTATGATCCGGTCACAGCGGTGTGTAGTAATTGTGTTTCTTGTGCTTTTAGTCCAGACGAGAGGAGGTTTTGTGTGTTTTCGCTGGCTGCATCAACGGACGGCACCGAGATTCTGGGCGGGTGAGTGTCATACGTTTGTCTCATACCTGCTCCTGCAATGACTGAGGACAGTCATGGGAAAAATAAAAAATAAACATCTAAATTATTAAAATCTATCTTTAGGTGTCATTATTTACTGAACAAAGCCAAAATGGAAGCAGGAGTTTCGCCTGATTGCTTCTCTGGAGCATACAGGTGTATGTTAACACAACGCCAAGGCAGAAAGCCATCAGCAATGACATTAGATAAGCAACTGTTCAATCTGGAAAGGGTCAAAGGTCATTAACTTACTATTTGGAGTCCATCAAGATTATCTACATGTGGAACACATTTAGATTTGAATTTGCTGTCAGTCTTAGTAAATTCACCCTGAAGGTCAGACCATGCAACGCTCAAACGTGAGCTCCAACTCAAGACTTTACAGGCCTCAGCAGGTCAAAGGTCATGGCAGGATAGTTAGAAAAAGACAGAACAAGTTTGGTTTGTTTGGAATGATAGTGTGAGGAAAAAAACATGGCTGCCCGACTCAAGAACAAGACTTCTGGAACAAAACCAGAAGTGGGGACGTTTACCCATAATGCACAGGGCCAGCAGATCGAGACAGTTACCTCATACAAAGTGTCCTGCACATTAGTGGAGGTTAAATGATTTAGTCGTCCTACAAGATCTGGACACCTGGTGTGTATTTGTGTACACCTGACGTTTTAATTTTTTTAATGAACTCATTTAAACTTTTAGCTACTGTTTTGCTAATTTTAGCTTTCTGCTACGATTCCACTACACATAGCTTTTAGCTACGATTGTGCTTACTTTAGATTTGCACTACAATAATGACTTTCTTTTTCCTCTGAATTTATTGTTCGTAAATCTAAATATAAATCTTGATGTTTTGTTTTCAGAGCGAACGATGGCTGCCTGTACGTTTTTGATCTTGGGGAGAATAAACGAACGCTGAAGGTGAGCACGACCTTGTGTTGTTTTTCTTTCAGCTGCTCAGGTGCCAGTGAGCTTTCCGGTCCATCTTCTTTTTCTCTCTCGTCCTCGTCAGATTGATGCCCACGAGGACGACGTGAACGCCGTGGCGTTCGCCGACAGCTCGTCTCAGCTGCTGTACTCCGGCAGCGACGACGCCGTGTGCAAGGTGTGGGACAGACGGACGCTGCGGGAGGACAGACCGCGACCTGTCGGACAGCTGGCTGGCCACAGAGACGGCATCACCTTCATCCACAGCAAGGTAGCACGGAGTCTGGGGGGGTCGAAGTCTGAAACGCTGCTGCCGTGTTATCAGTTTGTCCGCTGGTGGGCTGGGTGATGTCTGAGGTCTCTTTCCTCTCTGCCAGGGTGACGCTCGTTATCTAATTAGCAACTCGAAGGATCAGTCCATCAAGCTCTGGGACGTCAGGAAGTTTTCACCCAAAGAGGGTCTGGCTGCCTCCCGGCTGGCCGTCACCCAGCAGAACTGGGATTACCGCTGGCAGCAGGTTCCCCAGAGAGGTGAGGCGCCGGCGTCACGTACGAGGGAACGACGGCAGCCGATGTCTGGGCCTTAAATCTAAAAGTCTGCCACCTGTGACCGTTTCGTCTCGCAGCCCTGAAGAAGCACAAGCTGACGGGCGACACCTCGGTGATGACGTACCGCGGTCACGGCGTCCTGCACACGCTCATCCGCTGCCGCTTCTCTCCGGAGTTCACCACCGGCCAGAGGTTCATCTATTCCGGCTGCTCCACCGGCAAAGTCGTCAGTAAGTCTCCGCCCCTCTCAAAGTTTTCCCCTCCATGAGCCGACGGGCCGCGCTTCTCTTTAAGAGGCTGAAGCGGTTCAATTGTCTGTCCAGTTTACGACGTGCTGACCGGCGCCGTGGTAACAAGGCTGTCGGGCCACGACGCGTGTGTGAGGGACGTCAGCTGGCACCCTTATGAGGACAAGATCATCAGCAGCTCTGTGAGTGCTGAAAGCCCACATATTACACCAAATCTTTAAAAAGTAAATACATTTTTTATGTATTCAGACTAGACCTGTCACGATAAACAATAAATCAATTAATCACACGATAAATGAAAATTATCAACCTCATTTCGTTTCTTCGTGTCTCTCTTTCTACTGAAGACACTGGACGACAAAAAGCTCGACTCTGGTGCTCTTCACTGACCCCTCGCTTTCTCATTTCTCTTTAAAATCTGTTTTAACCGTCCAAAATCTTGTTTCTGGATCGTTAAAAGCAGCTAAGCTACGAGCTAAGCTAACAGGCCGACCTCAGGGGAAAAAACCTCCGTCTTGTCAAAGCTCCAAAACGTCTGAAACCCGTGCCTTCGTGTAAAAAGTTGTTTTTCTCTGCAAAAAGAAGCTGAGAACTTGTTTACTGGTTTTTATTATTAAAAGCTTTGTGTGAAAAATGCTAAAGAGCTCAAACCACACCGAGCGTCTGCCAATTTGAGAACCGAAAAACAGGAAGGAGAGACAGCCCATGTCACGTCAAGAGGCCTCCCTCCCATTTTTCTTAGAGACACGCGCTGCTCGCTCCCTCACTATCCATCCTTCATTTCAGACAGTCTTATACTGCCATCCAGTGGTCAAAAAAGGTACTACACACAAAAATTTACCAACATTTCTTCTTAAATATGACAATTAATAATTATTGTCAAATTTCAAACAATATTATCGTTTATCGCAATAATTTCTGAGATAATTAATCGCCCAGCAAAATTGGTTATCGTGACAGGCCTACTTCCGACAAAGTATCTTGTACTGAAATTAGGGCTGGACAATAATTCGATATCGATGTATATCACGATATATTTTTATTCAATAACGGTTATTTGAGTTTTAAGCACATTTTCGATATTTCATAAGATTACAGCGTTTCACTGACGCATTTCTTTTTCTGTTGGGGTTGAAGCGGCCGCTTCCGTTTCAACCCCAACAGAAAACGCCGCGACACAAAATAAGTGCGTGGTGACGTACACCACAGCTCGACGAAGTTAGCGGTAGCAGGCTAGGCTAAGCTCCAACGCGCGATAAGTTTTCGCTTCTAAACGAGTGCCCGTGACCGTCAGCATGTGACGGAACAAGCTTTCACAAGCATCCGTCATCTGAACTCATAAACGTTCGTAAGTGACGAAGTCCTGCCGAGACGAGAGAGAAACAAATGTGTTTGTGGTTCCAGTGGGACGGAGCGGTGCGGATGTGGGAGCACAGACAGACCCACCCTCTGGAGGAGGAGCGGGAGAGGGACTGACACGAGGAGCAGGCAAAAAGACTTTAGAGGAAGTGACATCACCAGAGGTGGTGCCCTGATGAACAAACCTGAGTATCTTTTAAATTAAACTCTGAATCTTAATGATCGGACGTGTGAAGTCTGTGAACGAGGCGGTCTGTTTTCCTCCTCGCCTCTCTGTCGGGGCAGACGACCTTTTTCAAGCCGGTCTGAAGCTCCTCCCACAGATATTAGGCCGTAACGGTAAGTGAGTTTCACAAAGGTAGACATGACGGGCGTCTCAGGTGTGATCATTGTGAATACATGTAAAGTATTTTAATTTGTGCATTCAGGGAGTGTTTTGCTGTTAAAACAACTCGAGCTGATTCTTATATTTAGTCGCACCTGATCAAGGCTTCTGTTGAATTTTTTTTTAATCGACACGATCAGCGGCTCGAACCTGAAACCCGGAGTTGTTTTTATTTTAGATGAATTTCGTGTTTAATGGGTTTCAGTGACGCTGAGGGTGGTCTGTTCCTGCAATCTTCAGGTGTTCACGTTCAAACTGCTGTTTTACAGTTAAAATAAAAGCTTCTCTTTGAACGTGTCACAGGTGAGTCTCTCCTTCAGTCAGTTTGTTGTTGTTGTATCGGGGGGGGCTTTAAACAAATCTGCAGACTTTAATCTTGAATCAAAATGTTGTAACTTCATTTAAAATCAAGCTCAAGATTGACCGAAATGGGATTTCAAATCTTTTATTAAACATTATCACCATGAAAGGTCATTGCCTGGGTTTCTCTGTGTTAGCAAAATATCTCATGAACCATAGTTTTTTTTTTTTTTTCTTTTAATTGGATATACTACAACTTAGATTTAAGATTCTGATTTGGCTAATCGACCTCAGCCAACACAAAAGTAGCTAAAGCTTGGTAAACGTACAGACACGCAGCTAAAATTTGTTCATGTGGCTGAAAGTAAATCTTACCGTATCATCTTTATTCTAGCTTTATTGGGGGGGTTGCTTTTCTTTTTTATATATATTTTTTGACAGCATTACAGATTTACAATCCTCAAACAGAAATATGTAAACATCAGCTGTATTATTTTTTTAACAAGGGTTCTATGAAGTTGGAACGAATGGGGAAAGAGGAAAAAAAAAAAAAAACTTGTGCAAATTAATTACTGTATTTTCTGGCGTATAAGTCGCATCAGTCCAAAAAAGCATCACGAAGAGGGAAAAACATGTTACAACGCTGTTGCAGTTCTTAGAAATTTAAAGCGTCAGTCAAAAATTATGTTGTGAATATGAAAAACAATGTGTATAAGTCTCAGGACTGACAAATCTATGCAAAAAAACTGCGACTTATACGCCGTAACATACGGTACTTGTTTGGTTTATGAAAGGAGAGGGGGAAACACCACAGGATCATTAATTCAGGACCTCTACAAAGTCTGGTCGTAAGGGCTTTACACAATTTTTTTGCTTTGTCGGCGTAATTATTCATGTTTTTACAGAAGAGGATTAGGGCCACGGTGTAATTTTTTTTTTCCTTTTGAGAAAAAAGTCAGAAATCTGAGAAAAAGTCTCCCAATTTTTTTCTCAAATTCTCACTTTTTAATCTCAGAATTAAGGAAAAAAAATAATTGCACCATGGCCCTAATCCTCTTCCGTAGCATCGTGAGAAACGAACCCGTGTTTTCTAATTCTCCTCTCAGAAACGTCAACTTGATGCGTAGTTTGTTCACATTTTCCCATTTATCACCTGGCAACAAGCAAGTTTTGTTAATGTGAAAACTTTATTTTTTTATTAAAAAAAAAATTAAATATTGAACCTTTTCACAATATTCTAATTTTCTGAGATACTGAATTTGGAGTTTTCATTAGTTGTCATTTATAATCAACATTAAAAGTAATAAACATTTGAATATATATCAGTCTGTGTGTAATGAAAGAACATAAAATACAAGTTTCACTTTTTGAATGGAATTATTGAAATAAATCAACTTTTTCATGACCAGCGCCTGTACCTGTTGAAAAGATTCTGGGGTCACTAGATGGGGACCTTGGACACGTTTTTGGCTCGTGCTTGTCCCGACTCGTTTTGCCGGCACGGGTCACGATTAGTAGCCACGGCAGCGTGACCAGCGTGACCAGCGTGACCAGCAGCACTGTGTCAGCAGCGCCGCTCTAAAATTAGCCCCAGCATCTTTGGCTCGTTTGCTTCTATTTACACCCACCGTTCCTGCGCAATGCTTGTTTCAGCTCGTAAAACCAGAACGTATTCATCCCAAACTCAGCACGCCTGTTTTTTTTGTCTGTAGCACGACCAGTTCCTGCGGTTGTGCTGCCCCAGAGTCTCATGGAAAGACCCCCTGGCAGACCCCGACTGGGAGAAAAGCAGCTGTTTCTCTGCTGGCAACAGTTTCCAACCTAAAATAGTTTGAGCCTCCGACAGCCAGCGGGTCAAATGATCCATTTAGAGGCAGAATGAGTCTTTGTGCCAACGGGAACGTTGGTGTGGGTGTTGCATCATAAGCTGCCATCTTTAAGGAGACTGTCGCAGCTGGTGTCCTTGAAAATAAAGGCACGGTTGACAGCAGCCGTCTCCTCTTTCAGTTGGAGGGGGGCGGTTTAAGGGTGAAGGTGACGCAGGGGCTGTATTTTTATAAACCTTGCTGCCTGCCTGGAATAAACCGCTAGGAAAACGCAGATCTGCATGGACCCAAAGACCGGAAAGCCCTCGAGCGGCCTCCTGTCGGAACTGGAGAAGTTGCAGAAGATGACCGCAGAGCTGGCGGTTCCGGGCCGACTCGTCCTCGCGCCCCTGAACGCTGCACTGGAGCTCCTCACAAACTTCCTGGCCTGGGTTCTAGGGAGCGGCCCGGTCCGAAGGCATTTCCACCTGGTGCTGTCCGGGCTGGTCGTCTTCGGGCCGGTTCTGAGCCTCTGGGTGTCCAAGTACAGTATTTTTGCGAACAGCCACCACTACCTGTACAGGTGAGAGCCCTCGGCTGCTTTTGAAGTCGAGGAATTTAAACTTTTTGCTGTTTGTTCTCAAAACATAAATAATTTAAAACGATTACATCCTCAAATCGTAATTATCGTCATCAACGTTAGATTTTAATTAAACAAAGTGGCGTCTGTAAATATTTAAGTAAACAGTTTAGGCCTGTACGGAAGCCCCTTTGTGCCACTCTGATAAAGAAAAAATAGTCATAAATACAAGACACTATTTCAAAATATGACTTAAAATCTTTACGTATTAAATGTCATATGAGATCTCATAAAAATGAAATACTATTTTTTTTCATATGCCAGTAATTGAGATAAATACAAAAAGCAAAGTTAAAATTTTGAGAAAAAAATATCTCTTTAAAAAATGCTGTCATCATTTTATCATAGTATTTTATAAAATGTCATAAATTATTTTGATAGAGATAATTCACAAGCTATAATTTATTAAACGCTGGCACAGTTTAGAGGGAAATACAAGTTATTTAATTTTTGAAGTAGTTTTAACTACAATAAGAGTCGTATTTGGATATATCGTCTCATTATTGAATATGAGAAAGTATTTCAGTTTCTCCTAAATTTGATTTAGAGAACATTTTTTTTTATAAAAGTGGCAGAAATGGGCTTCCATACTTTCAAACTGCCCCTATTCTCAGATTCTTTGAAACGTTCAATGAACGTCACCTTTAAATCTGTTTGGATGCACAGTTTTAATAAATTATAAGATTTTTCCTCAAGTATTTATAAAAACTTGGAGCTTGTGCCCACTTGATATCCTCCAACTCCACTTTTTTTATATTTATTTCGCACCAAATCATGTTTACAATCAAATATCTATGAAAAATATATTAAGAGTTTTTCTCCTGAAAACTGACGTGGGAGGTTAAACCCTTTCATGTCTCACGGTGGGTTCCCTCCTGCAGGAAGTTCCTCAGGTCCACTTGGGGCTGGACCTGCACCCTCACCGGCTCCTTCCTCCTCCTCCTCTCCTTCTCGGCCCGTCGCTCCCCCTCTCTTTCCCTGCGCCACCTCTCCAGGATTGGGTTGGCAGGCTTGCTGTGGTGGTGCTGTCTGCGCCTCCTGACCCTGCTGGAGGATGCGTCGGGGGCCTGTTACGAACCCGTGGGCCCCGCCCAGGACGCCTCTTCAGCGCAGCCTCTCCTGCTCCTCCACGAAGACCAGACCAAAGCCTCGTGCCTCAGAGCCAACATGGTGTGGCGAGGGTACGAGGTTTCCCAGGACACCCTCGTTCTGTGTCTGTGCTGCCTGCTCATCGTGGAGGAAATGTCCGTCTTCGGCCGTCACCTGGCCCAGGAGAAGCACCTCCACAGGTCGCCTGGGGCCCCATTGAGACTCCTCTTCCTTTTTTGTGTAACCCTGCTCTTCATATGGATGTTCTTGCTTTTGTGCGTGCTGGCGTACTTCCCCGCCTGGCCATCCCAGCAGCTGGGCGGAGCGCTGGGCTACCTGGGCTGGAGGGGACTCTATCAGGGGTGGTTCAGACTCCCACCGAGCTGGGGCTCACCTGGTTCACCAGGAGAGGAACTTTTTCCCTCCACAAGCTCCGACAGAGTTAATCACACTTGACTTTCTACAAATAAACAGCTGAAGGCTAACGGGAATCATGGCGCTTTATTTTTGTAATTTGAACCAAAAATCATGCACTGCGGGAAAATGGACTCTTATTTTGTGTCGTTACTTGATCCGTGTTATACGACAGGAGATGTAGCTCGTGAGAAAACCAAAGCTTCTCCAGAATCAGTAGATGAGGGCTTTCCCGTCTCCTCTCGGTCTCTTAATCTTGTCGTAGTTCTTGGTAACGATGTCAAACAGAACAGCCTGCGGGAAAAAAAAAACAAGACAAACAAGGAATTCTTGTGTTGTTGGATAATGTGCCTGTAAATATATTCACCTCTTTCTAGGTTTTAAACTTTCATCTCTGTCATAAATCATGACCAGTATAAATTTACCTTCCTTACAAAAATATACATATATAAAAAAAACTTATTCAATATCAAAATGAAATCAAATTTTATACGTAATGATTAAAATATGTAATGTAAAATAATTGCACCCCTCCCAATTCAGCTCAGAGGAACGATTATTGAAAAGCACAAGTCAGGGATGGACACGAGACGATTTCCAAGGTCCTAAACATCCCCAGGAGCTGGTTTAATTCATCATTATTAATGGAAGGAATATGGGACACGTGTAAATCTACCAAGAGCAGGCCCCCCTCAAAAACTGAGAGACTGAGCCACAAGGAGAATTATCAGAGACCACCAAGATACGTGTGAGCACTCTGAAGGAGCTACGAGCTCCAGCAGGTGAGATGGGAGACACTGATCATACATCAACTGTTGCCCAAGTTCTTCACTATTTTAAGCTTAATGGGAGACACTGATCACACATCAACTGTTGCCCAAGTTCTTCACATTCTAAGCTTAATGGGTGACACTGATCATACATCAACTGTTGCCCA